ATCGAATATCTATCTCTGGAGGCAGTTGCGCCATGTTCTCCTTCTGTTACTCATCCATCACCGTTGCCTTTGGATAATTTGAGCATCCCTAAGCAGAATAAACGCCATCAGACGGGAAATTTTCACAGTTCAACTCCTTGCCAGTCGAATCGTTTGAAGATTGCATCTTCCAACGAACAGGCAAGACAATTCAAGAGGCGAGAAAATATCAAGTTGAAATTCTTACCTCGGTCAAAACTAAATATGTTGCATGAGAATCACCAGTCAGGAGACAGAGAAGAAAGACTATTTCGTCCCATACGCCGAAATAAAGTTTCCGATAAGACTATGAATTGTGGCGAAAATGAAAATGGCTCTCCGAATTCTATCTCACGTATTCCTGATGCCTCTCTGTTACAATGGATGATGCGAGTTCATGCTAAACGGGCCCGTCGCAAGCAAATAAAGCGTGAAACCCGCCGTTTTTCCAAGCGGCATTACCAATGTTCCAAGATTACACCCAACCAAGATGCCGCCAACAGGTCCAAAACAAAAGCCATTAAGCCTATGGCGCTTTCACTCTCAGCTGTAACCGTCGAAGATGCACATAGTCCAGTTCAACGGCAAAGGCAGCATTCAGCCTCACCTTCTGGGTCATTAAGGTGGCGCCCTGGCCGATCCAAGAGCTTATTGCGTGATCAACACACTCCAGATACTGAGTTTTACGGCCCAAGCAGGGCAAAGCGAAACCGATTTTCCATTCCAGATTTCCGAAGCTCAAAATCACTACGGAGAAAGTAAGATTTTAACTCAACTTTTTGCTGTTCTTTATGTAATCACACCTGATTCATGTCCAGCAAATTAAGACCTCATTCATACTAACCAGGATACTTTTTAGTTATAGATTTCTACATTTTCTGAAGTCTTACCATAATAATATCGATGTCCACCTCTTTTAGACTTCAAAAGGCCCTCAAACTTATTCGTACCTTAACATTTTGAACAGAATAAGTAAATGCATTTTATCTTAATCAAGACCTTTTGGCAAAATTAATAGAATTTATAACT